AGTCACTTGATATTTGACAAGGTACCAAGAACACACAATGGAAGAAAGACAGCATCTTTAACATATGCTGCTGGCAAAACTAGATCTCCACCTGTAGAATAATCAAAGTAGATCCTTATCTTTCACCTTGCACAAAAGTCAATTCCAAATGGATCAAAGACCTCAATGTGAAACTGGAAACTCTGAAACTATTAGAAGGAAACATTGGCAATAACTCACAAGATATAGGTGCAGGAAAGGACTTTCTAAATCAGATATCAGTTGCTTAGGAATTAAGGTCAACAATCAACAAGTGGGACCTCATTAAACTAAAAAGCTTCGGTACAGCAAAAGAAACAATCAAGAAAGTAAAGAAAAAACCCACAGAGTGGGAAAAAATCTTCATCAGTGACACATCTGACAGAGGTTTAACATCCAGAATATATAAAGAACTCAGAAAAACAAAGAATCAAGAAAACAAATGACCTAATTAAAAGATGAGCTAAAGATCTAAACAGAGTTCTCAAAGGAAGAAAAAAAGATGGCTAAGAAACATCTTAAAAAGTGTTCAACATCGTTAGTAATTAGAGAAATGCAAATTAAAACCACCTTAAGGTTTCATCTTATCCCAGTCAGACTGGCTAAGATCAAGAGAACAAATGATACCAGATGCTGGCAAGGATGTGGAGAAAGGGAAATGCTCATTCACTGTTTATGGGATTGCAAACTCATGCAACCCCTATGGAAAGCAGTGTGGAAAACTTGTAAAAAACTAATAATGAATCTACCATATGACCCAGTTATACCACTCCTTGGCATATACCCAAAGGACTCATCCTATTGCAGAGACACTTGTATAACCATGTTTGTTCCTGATCTTTTCACAATAGCTAAGAGATGGGAGCAACCTAAGTGTCCCTCAACTGACAAATGGTTAATTAAAATGTGTACGTTTACACAATGGAGTGCTACTCAGCAGTAAAGAAAGATGAAATAGTGAAATTTGCAGGTAAATGGATGGATCTAGAAACTGTTATACTAAATGAAATAACACAGACTCAGAAAAACAAAAGACGTATGTTCTCCCTCATTTGTGGATCCTAGCACAAAATCCTCATGAACAAGTATCCCAGTCACCACCCAGCAATGTAGCTCCTTTTTCAACAGACAGAAATTATTACAGAGTTACATCACTGGTCACACACAGACATTCTCTGTGAATTGTCCAAGCCTAAGTGGCACATCTAGGATGCAACCTCTGGACCTAAGACTCACGGAACATAGAACAAGGGATTAAAAGAACACTAATGCATCTTTTAATTCTTATCAATGAATCTCCCTTATGCAACATAGGGCCAGGAACAGAAAAAGCTACAAATGGCCAAAATGTAGAGAATAAGAGTTGGCAGAATGTGGGCCCTTGGACAGGACTCCTATATTGACGTCCACTCACCCAAGTCTCAGGGACCATTGTGGAAGAGGGGGTAGAAAGATTGTAAGAGCCAGAGAGGAGGTACATGACCATACGGAAATAGTCCTACACAAAAATTCAATAAGAACTAAAAGTGTGGAGACTCATGTGGTGCCAGTGCCTGTAATCACACACTATGCGTCCTAATCCAGTTTGGACTTCACAGTGAATTTGAGGTAAGCTAAACTAATCATGTGTGAAAAAGTTATAAGGAAAATTGATACTTGGTAAGCTAATCAAAAAATAAAATTAACAACAAGAAAGTATGAACAGAGGTCCCCATTGTATAAAAGCAGCTTGTATAAAAGCACCTTGATAAAACAGCTCATAGAAGCCATAGGTTATTAACTGATCATTTCAGTACCAGGAGTAGGCTACCTCTCTATGAGTTGTTGGTCAAGGAAGTCTCAGAGACTCCCAAAACAATATAGTCAATTGCCACTGCTGTTGGTTGCCCACCAGAATTAGCTGGTAAGACCTTATTGCTGAAGACACTATAAGCACTGGTCACGGGACCTAGAGAAATCAAGTTGGAGCTGGAATGGACACTTCCACACCACTAGCTAGCTCTCACAGTGCCAAAAGGTGATATTCAGGCTTGTGAGGGAGAACTGACATCAACCCTCTTATTCAGATGTGGACTCTGCATTGCTATACGATCCAAGAGCCAGGTAAGATATGCCTACTGGTACAATAGTGGCAAGTCTGTTATGAGGGTAACTAACTGCTTCTGATTGGAGTTAAAGCCCACAGGAGCTAATTAACATTTGGTACCCAGTCAAATGTGGTGAGGTGATAGGCCCTAATGGGGAAGCAGTTGCTGTTGTTTTGCTAAATGGACATGAAGTACCTGTCATACTCCCTCTAAGTAATTGTATTTATGCCCATAAATTAGTGCTGCTGTCAGCATTGGTCAGAGAAGTTTCGTTTTGCAGTAGCCAGTGGTGACTGTTCAGATTCCTAACTGGTCAAAATGCAAAGAGCAAGTGCCTATTGAATGCTCAGCCACAAACAGCCATATATATCAACCCCTCCAGGGCTCAGGGAACCTTAGGGAGGAATGGTTGGAAAAGACGGAAGAACCAAAAGAAGCAGGGATGGAGGGATGTGAAACTTCCTGGGTGTGACATGCCTGATGTACACTTGAGTTCATAGCAGCTACGATTCCCCGTATGAGCTCTGCACAAGACTGGGCCTGTCAACATCCTGTCATGGAAAGGGGAGGGGCTCATGGGACCCCATTCTTCTTTGAGGACTTATATGTAGCTAATGGTTGATGTAGGGGAGAGAGAGAGAGAGAGAGAGAGAGAGAGAGAGAGAGAGAGACTGTAAACAAAACTTCATCCATGTAAGCAACCCTAATGAAATTCATTAGGTCACCACTACTGCCACTAACAACAACAAAAAGAAAAAGAAAAGAAAGAAAAAGAAGAGGACTAATTGGGAAGAGAAGGGGTCAATGGGAGTGCAAGGGGGACAAGAGCAGGTAAAGGTGGGTGAATGTGATCAAACTACATTATATACATGTATGAAAATGTCATCGTGAAACCCACTGTTATGTACAATTATATGCAAATGAAAATATTTTTCTTTAGTCTTTTTGAGACAGCATCTCCCTATAGCCCTAGCTGGCCTAGAACTCGCTATCTAGACCAGGCCGGCCTCGATCTCACAAAGATCCTCCTGCCTCTGCCTCTGTGTGCTGGGGTTAAAGGCATGTGCCACCACTCCTAGTGGAAAACATTTTCTTAAGTCAAAGACCTGGCTCATGACTCAAGGAGTTCTTTGCCATCTCCTGCCTTTATTTTTCTTAATTATCTCTTTGGTAGGCAAAGGAAATCTGCCATCTTCTCTGTCTCGGGATAGCGCCAATGTTTCTCTTTTGTTCCTTCTAATCTTGGGGGGTTGCTCTTATTAGGAGAGTTTGAGCTATGTGCCCTAGTCAGAGGTGGACACAGGCAAGACTCTAGGAGTTTCAGCTTCTCCATAGCCATGGATAGTGACATCAATTAAATCATAGCAGTCACCAAGGAAAGGACTGAGGTGACAGGACCACATATTCATCAGTCTGTAATTTTCAAATTATAACCAATTTCCAAACAGCAAAACATTGTGGATGTCATTAGAATTAACAGGACAGGGGCTGGAGAGATGGCTCAGTGGTTAAGAACACTGACTGCTCTTGCAGAGGACCCGGGTTCAATTCCCAGCACTCACATGGCAGCTACGAGTTTAACTCCAGTTCCAAGGGAATTCGAAGCCCTGTTCTGACCTCTGTGGCATTGCACCACATGGGTGCACTCATATACATGTAGGCAATACACTCATACACGTGAAAAATAAAAATAATAAAATATTTAAAAAACAGGACAAGTAATTAAATTGCAATCTCTAAAGTGTATATGTTGAAAGAACCAAAGCTTTATGCAGTTCCTTTTCAGGGTACTGATTTCTATGTGTAAAAAATAATTTCAGACAATGCATTGGATCTGAGAGGATGTTGTACAGACTGCTAAAATTTGGACAGTTTTCAATATTCATCATGGTGTATTTTGGCCATACCAAAAATTTACCAGCCCTGTTCTCTGTGTACTAAAAATAAGTATCAATTTGACAGGTACAAAAAATAAATTAATAAAACTTGGAAGATTTGCTTTGGCCCCAAATTTTATAAAAGATCTTACTGGGATCTTATTTCTCAATTCTCAAGAAATGAAGGAAGACTCTTGGAAGTTAGTTTTTACCACTGACAACTCATTTATCTGGAATTAGTGGGGGATGATGTCCATAAACATGAAGCTGTGTGAAAGCTAAACTGTAGATACTAATTGCTAAGACTTCTACAACGGAATTCTTATATGGATTTTATATTTGTGTGTGCATGTTCATGTACGTGCATGTGAATGTGCATGTGTGTGCACATGTATGTGTATGTAATGCATGTGGAGACCAAACGGACAACTGTGGGCGTTTCTCCTCAAGCGCTTGTCCCCATTTTTTAAGAGAGATGGCCTGGAGCTGACCAAGTGGGTTATGTTGACTGGCCAGCGAGTCCCAGGGATCTGCTTCCTCACCTCTGAGATTACAAGCAGTGCCACCATTTCCAGTATTATTTTTTAAATGTAGGTTCTGGATGTGGGATTCAGGTCCTCTTTACTGACTCAGCTGTCTCCTTGACATATTGGATAATTTTAATTTTAAACAGAAGACTGCATATATAACCTTACCATTTCTCAGTGACTCAACGATATCATTACTACAACCATGAGAAGTGCTGTGCTGACACACAGATGTCCTAGAAGACTCTGGGCTCTCTGCCTCGGGAGAAGGGACACCTGGTCAGATGAGTCCAGGTTGTGAAGCTTGTTTCTGCTTGCATAAACCTCCATCCATACGTCTTCTATTCCTTCACTTTCTTTAACTAGAGGAAAACCTAAAATTCATTAATATGCTTTGGACAATTCAAGCTACGAGCAGGATGACTATTGCCTACTATGGCAAAAGCGTCAAATATCCTTGTTGCTGATACAGGAGAAGATGGTTTACAAACCTGAGCAGAAAGTGGAGGCAAAATTCTGGAGGGCAGAATCCACCTCTTCTACACTGGAGAGAGCCAGGAGCCGTGGAATGAGGCTTTCCAGGGACTGCACGAACAGCCGGGCGCTGTGCTGGTCGGCCTCCTGGTTCTTCAGCAGTTTGAGGGATAGAGCAGCTGTCCTCAGGGACCGATGGCCCATGTAATCCCGAGAGGTCTGTTCTTCGTCAGCCAACGAACAGTTGTCTGACCCGATATCTGACACATCCGACCTGCCAGAGTCCTTTTCTGCAGCCATGGAGTACTGATCACAGGAATCAAATTCCGTCCTGGAGAGGTCTTGATCATCTACACTGAAGTTGCTCTCACTATATCTAGATCCGTAGGACCTTGTCCTGCAGTCCACTGACAGGAAGTTAGTGATGTCAGGGTAAGCCACTGTGTGGCTTCTCTGAACCACATCTGGCTGGTCTACAGCCTCATGTTCTGACACTTTGCTCATGGTCTCTTTGCCTTCCTGGATAGCTGGTGACTTGAGCCCGTTTTTGTGGTCCTCTGGTGTTGTTTGACCTAACTCTCCCTCCAAGGTGGTCTGTCCTGTGTCCGTGGTGACACTGATGCTGATGTCAGGGCTCCTCTCATTGCCTGACTCCCAGGGGGTGTGCTCTGAGGACAGCACTCGCCTCTGCCAGCGGAAGTCAGCTTCATTGATCTCCATGGAGTCCCTGCTGGACTCCGCCCCATCCCTCAGCTCTTCAAGGCGCAGAAGCAGTAGCTGCACTTGACTGTCAGTCAAGCCCTTCCCCTGGCTGAGCTCATCGAGGGCCCCGAGCAAGGTACAGACACAGGACACGGCAGCGAAGCAAGCTTCAATGCCACCCTTGATGCATGCTTCGGTCATGCCATCCATGATACTGCAATGTTCAAGATAGAAAATGGCATAAAAATCAAGTAGTCAGGACAGTAAGCAAATAACAAAAACATGCTGAGGCTGGGAAAACCTCCAGGCAAAGTACACCCCCTAAAACCATACTCCCTGATGATTGGTCAGCTTCTCTGAATGCCAATGCAAATTCCTGAAGGAAACTGATCATTTTCCTCAAGGTCAGACAATGAACAATCTCACTTTTGAATTATGCTCAGATCTTCAAGTAGAAAATGGCTTTAAAGGCTAGGGAATTGTGAAGACCGAGCTGTGTAACCACATTTTTACCAGATATAAGTTAGTAAAGTTATTCCAAACCACAGAATATTTAGTTTTCTAGGGAGGCTACATGCAATGAATCCTACAGCTATCATACTGCAAATTAAAAAGTTCCCTCCTAAAATAACTCCAGTGGATAATTTTCGAACACTTCATTTTGTAGATTTAGTTTTAAGTCAGTATGGAAATCTTGCAAGTTATGAGTATAATAAATTGAGATGTCTTACGTGGCTTGTGGGTAAATAACTAAATATGCATATTTTATTTAATGTAGATTCATCAAAATTTCATGAATTTGGAAAGAAGCTGAAAACTATTCAGAGAAGCAGTGTTAATCAACCAACCCAAAAGGAGAATGTATCATACAGTTTGAGAAGATCCAAGTGAGATTTTCTTTTTGAAATCGATCTTTTTCTGGGTTCTGGCTCAGTAGAGCTTGGTCCTGCCAAATCGTATAGACGCTGTGGGCTCCCAAGTATCTTTAGGAAAAAGGGGAGGAAAGAACAGAAAAGTATCATAAGAAAAACACTTTTAAAATTGTGAGACCAAACAGACAATGTATTTTCTCTATTGAATGCCACAAAGTAAGGAGAACTGATAGAGACGGGGTATCCCTTATCTGAAATGCTTAGAATCAGAAATATTTTTTATTTTTGTTTTTTTCAGATTTTGGTCTATTTGTACATATATAATGAAGTCTTTTGGAGAATGGAACCCAAATTAAACAGTAAACTCATTTATAGCCTGAACATAATGTTTAAAACTTTGGAACCTGAGGGTTTCATAGTATGGTATTTTCTATTTGTAGCATTAAGGTAGCATCCCATAAAGTATTCCATTTCAGAGCATTTTCAGATAAAGGACATTGTATATAAATTTTAATAAAATTAACTGATGCCACAAAATACTAAGTACTAAACCATAAAATAAAATGTGGTACATTGTGACAGTTATAGTCATTGGGCTCTCTATAGTTAACAGCTCTCTAGAACTTCTCCATGCTAACTACGTCACTTAACCAGCATCTCTCCAGCCTCTATCCCTGCAACCCCTGGTGACCACCATTCTACTCTCTGCTTCTATGAATTTGAAATTTTGGAATCTCCTAAATGAGATCACGTGGTACTTGCTGTGTCTGAGTCTGAGTTACTTCTCTTATTTCTCAACATAATTCATCCATGTTGTTGCAAAGGGCAGGGTTTCCTTCTTTCTTAGGACCAAATATTAGTCCATCAGTACTATTTTTATTAGATTTAATTTATATCCTTTCTGGACCTAGTAACTGCATGTTGTGCTGGTGAACTGGTAGAAGATACTGCATTGGAAGGGCATATATGAAGCAACCTCTATTTGTGAAACCATGGGGCATCGTTTTCCCAGTTGTCTAGCCAGTGTTCTTCTTATATAGTTCTTTAGTTCTTCAAATCCTTCTTAGGTAGTTGCAAAGATGGGGATGATATCTTAAGATGCCTTATTCCTCTTTAGAGTCCTTTTTTTTTTTTTTTGCAAATACAGAAAATAAAATACAAGTAATAAAATTTTCTGTTTTGCAGGGAGGAGTTCAATAAGGTAAGGCAACATAGATATTTCTAATGAAAGTTTTTTAGAGAATTCTAGAGTTGGTGCATCTGTTCATGAAATTTTTCTTAGGTGGCTGGCAGATCCATTTGATTAACGCCAGGAGGGCAGGTTCTGGCAGGCTTTCCTCTTTGTCCCCCTCTAACACATTTGCAAGCAGTCATACAGGTTCAAAGGTGCTGAGTGTAGGAGAAGGCAGAAAGCCAGAAACAATAAAAAGCAATTTTCTACTTTATTTCAATGCTTGAGGAATTTATGGCCCATTCTTTATTCAGTGCTGATGCCTGTTTGAACTTATTATGTGTAATCTAAGTCTAAGAATTCATGTTAAAAATACATAATCTAGGGCTGGAGGGATAGCACAGCCGTAGGTTTAAAGGCTAAGGCTAACAACCAAAAATACATGATCTGAAATTGTAGAACTTACTTAAGAAACCCAACTGAGCAAATAGGAATTTCCAGTACTTGAGGATGTGTGTAGGGCCTGTATTAGCTGTATGTCTTGAAGGTTTATTTATTTTTAAAATTATGTGTATGTTTGTATCTGAGTGGTATGTATATACATTAGGCAAGTGCCTGTGGAGTCCAGAAGAGGGCACCAGATCCTCCTGGGGCTGGAGCTACAAGAGGTTGTGAGCCTCCCAGTGTGGGTACTAGGAACCAAACTTGGGTCCTCTACAAGACCAGTACATGTTCTTAACCACTGAGCCATCCCTCCAGCCCCAGCTATAAATTTAGATCAAAGCGAATTACTCTGTTCTGTCCTTTCTTCTGTAGGACATTTATGATGTGCTACCAAGACCACCTTCAGCTGCCAAAGTTCTTTTTCTTTATTGAGTTCTCCATGTTCACTAGTTAATGAAAGATCCAGAAATACAGAGATATCATTCATCATCTTGGAACCTTCCAGTGCACTAAACCCACTGTCTGCTCTTCCAGCCAAAAGCTGTTTCTAAGAGCATTTGTCTGGAAGCTGTTTTAAAGTAATTTTGGTGCCACCACCTTCTCCACACAAGCAGGGATAGGCCATCCACCACTTCCTCCACACAAGTAGGGATAGCCCATCCAGCACCTTTCAGAGTGTGTATGAAAAAAATGTATTATGTAGAAATAGTTATATTTTAAGGGGATCTTTTCTTTAGCTGTCCTATTTCTTGTTGAAGGAGTGAGGGCTTCTCTGAGGGATGGGGATTTTGCTTTTCTTTGGTGCTAGGGATGTGTTCCCAGGCCTCATGCACAGTCATCAGGTTCTGTACCACTAAGCTATACCACCGGCCCAAAGGCTAGAACTCCGAAACTGCAGTTTCTAATGAGATCCCATCCAATCCTCTAATTGAACTTAGATAATGTATTTTTTAATTTTTAAATTATATACATATTTAAAATTTTATGTGTATGCGTGTATTGCCTGCATGTAAGTAAGTGCACCTGTGTCATGCAGTGCCCGCAGAGGGCAGAAGAGGCTGTCGGATCCCCTGGGACTGGAGTTACAGTTGTTAACTGCCATGTTGGGTGCAGGGATTCAAACCCAAGTCTTCTGCAAGAACAGCCAGTGTTCTTATGCACTGAGCCATCTTTCCAGCCCAAAAGTACTTCCGAAGTTTGTACAAGTTTAGTTCTTTTAAATATCAAAACCCCCAAGTGGGCTGAGAAAAAAAGCTAATTTTCTAAATTATCATTAAAACTTTGTTTTAGAAGCCAGGCGTGGTGGCGCACACCTTTAATCCGAACACTTGGGAGGCAGAGGCAGGTGGACCTCTGTGAGCCTGGTCTACATAGTAAGTTCCAGGCCAGCTGGGGCTACAGGGAGATCCAGCCCCCCACGTAACATATTTTATGCCCACATTCATCATGTACATCTGAAAGGGGGGGGAGGACAGAGTGAGTAGGCTTCAGAATGACCCCGCCCCCCCAATACTAAAAGAAACATAAAGAAATATATAAGGACTTTTTTATCTTCTTGTGGTATGAAGATTAAACCCCAGAGCCTTGTCCATGACACTGAATTATGTCCTAGACACACTTTTTCTTCTCCCAGTGCTGGGAATTGAATCCAGGGCCTTGTGTATGCTCAGCATACCACTGAGCCACATCTGTCCCCAGCTTTTAAAGTATTAGGTTCTTCAGATAAGGAAGGGGGGTGTGGCATCAGCAGGCGGGTGTTCTAGGTCTGAATACTAGCAACACTTTCTAAAGCACAAACACAGGGTAGACAAAAGGAAGCAATTTTGCTTTTTCATAACTGATCATTTGGGGGAAGTAGAAGCAGAAAGAGAAGGTGCTTTGAGAAACAAAATGTCCTGTATGCCTTTGACAAATAGGCACATGGCACATATGGCCGAGAGACACAGGAAACAATAAACTGAAAGGCTAAGCAAACATCCTGGGCACTGAATGGTTTTCTTTGTGTGCATATTTTTGTATCTAGGTTACCAACTTTGCTAAATTGCCAGTTTTCCCCTATAAAGCAGAGGTATTGATTTTCAGAACAACCTGGCTCAAGTTCATCTGCTTGGCTTCCCAGGGCAGTACTGGCTGCATACACTACTTGGAAGCAGGTGTCTAATTCTAGTGTTGCCTTTGAAAAATGCCCTTGGGAAGCACTGTAGGTTTAATGCTATGGGGAAAATACACAAAAGTAACATATTCGAAATATATGGGAGGATACACAGGCTTGTTCCACATGGCACTGTGAAGCAATCAGCATGATGAGGCAGAGCATCCATTGCTAAAGGGTGGGATGGAGTTTAATGAAGACCAAGATAAGTGTCTGAGGAAGCACAGCCATATGTAGGGTTCTGATGGCAAAGAGGCAGCTATATTTAGAACACCCAGGTTCATAGAAGAGCCTCATGTCTCACAAGAGGTAGGATTTTAGGAAAGGAACTTCCGTCCCAAAAGCGTCAGCGTCTCCATCTGGAAAATGGGCAAAATAGTATTTACTAACCTAAGGGAGTGAGGTATCAGTTAGGTCTAGTGTTTCACATTGTGAATCTATGTTGTCTTGGCAAAGTCCATGCTTGAGAACCAAGCAACACAATTACAAAAGGAAATCACAAACATTCATAAGGTTTTCAGTAGGTTTACGATTTTTGTGTTGCACCACATTCATAGCTATCTTGGGAGCACAAGATTGTCATGGGCTTCAGGTTAGACATGCCTAGTCTAGCTCATTGTAATTAACCACTCAACTCTGAGATACCAAGTGGCCCATGGGAACAGTGGTGAGAGAATGAAAAGAGGCAGGAAGGGGAAAATTAGGTAAGGTAGAGTCAGTTGGAGGGGATGAAGTTACATCTTGGGACATGATAGGAAATGAGAATAATGGCAGAACATTCTGGAAAGAGCCAAGTAATTCAGATGGTGAGGAAGGCAATAGGAAGCCATTAGAGAGCCCTGAGCAATGGCAAAATTGTCAACAGTGGCGATTTGTGAAAGTAGGTCCTGTAAAACAATAGGAAGAAAAGCAGCCTGCCAGAGGGAGAGGGGAGGAGCTGGCTAGCTTCAGCCTCCTCTATCTTGTTTTCTCTTCCTTAGCGTAGTAATAGGTGTGCTATCTATTCTGTTTGGTACTTTATACTCACAAAGTACTTGTGCAAACTTGGTTGTGTTTTGAACATGTAAAGTTTGGAATATTCCAATGCTGTAAAGATGAGAAAATGGTAGATTCAGAGTTAAATGGCCTACTGTCACCTGCCTGGTGAGGGGCAGAGAGAGGATCTGACTCTTATACTCAGGCTTGGGAATGGGTAGCTGACCCAGTGCCAGCACAGGGTTTGCTGGAATTGTCTGCACCGTTACGTGAGTGACAGACATATCTAGAAATCAGTAACGGATAGGAAAAATAATGGTGATTGTTGTGTGTTCATAGATTTTCTTAACCAGAGGGTCAGAGGGATCATGGGTTGCACTTTTTGTTTGAAATTTGGCCTCCCTTTTTTAAGTCTTTTTCTTTTGAGACAGGGTCTCCCTGTAGCCCCAGTTGACCTAGAACTCACTATGTAGACCAGGCTGGCTTTGAACTCACAGAGATCCTCCTGCCTTTGCCTCCTGAGTGCTGGGATTAAAGGCATGCACCACCATGCCTGGCTTCATTTGGCCTCTTAAGGCCTCAGTTTCTGTGTGGGATGGACAAATCCATTTTCTGGCTTCATACTTCCCTGCAGAATATCCAATGGAGGCCTTTCTTCCTGCTCTCTCACTTCTGGTAGAGAGGAAGCTCTTGACTTGAATGGTGAATTTAGGAGGAAGAACCGAGCATGCGTGGCCAACCCCTTCCGCCTATGCAGAGGAAGCCCAGCTCAGCTCCTCTAAGCGTCAAGCTTATCAGGACAGGGGCCTGCCTTTCCCAAGAATGGCCTGGTGCAGAATCCCTTCTGTCTAGATGGCAATCAAGTAGACGAGTGTCATGTTCAAAGTTTCATAGTCTTTAGCAATCTAGCAGTGGAAGGTTCTTAAAGTTGGACTTTAGGTCCCCGTTCCCTCAAATGATGGAGGAGAAAAGAAGTCACACTCTTTACTGGTAATAATAAATTTGACACACAGCCTCATAAAGCTATTATGAACATGAAAAGTAAAGTACATGAAGTGCCTGGCACAGAGGAGTAAAGAAATAATGGTGATTGTTGTGTGTTCACAGATTTTCTTAACCAGCAACTGAATCTGGGTTACTCCATTTCTAGAAACACTGAGTCAGAACTCTTCATTATTCATTAGGTTCAAGCTCATAAAGATAATACCAGGGGTTGGAGAGATGGCTCAGTGGTTAAGAGCACTGACTGCTCTTGTAGAGGACCCGGGCTCGATTCCCATCACCCACATGGAGGCAACAAACTATCCTTAACTCCAGTTCCAGGGGAATCCGAAGCCCTCTTCTGACCTCTGCGGGTGCACTCACATACATGCAGGCAGTACACTCGTACACATAAAATAAAAATAATAAATAATAAATATTAAAAAAAGATAATACCAATAAGCAATTGGTCTTGGATTCAGATGCAGGACAACAAAAGGACCACCATCATTTGGAAAGTATCTCAGCAAGACAGGTTGTGACCCAGCTGTGCATCTAAGGCTTACCACTTTCAGAAGTTGACCTGTGGCCATGAAGCTATCTACCATGCCAAGCACAACAAAATACATGACTAAAGTCCAATGCTGAAAGACAAAAAAGGTACCAGGGATTGGTAGAAAGGGGCCCCTAAACATCATACCCTGCAGATTCCCGAGTAGATTCTATGCAGTAATCCTACATAAGCCCAAGAGGGCAACTGTCACAGCATTGGGTGAATCTTGTGAATTTCAGTGATTAGTTATGCACAAAATGGTCTGGTTTAAAAAAGATTTTAAAGAAATTGATGGTCAATATTGCTTAAATTGAATGAATCATCAAGATTTTGTTACTCTGATTTGAGGGTGTTAGATACCCTAAGGAAATGCAACCTGACTGCCCTGGTAACTTTTGTTAACTTGACACAGGCTACAGTCATCTGAGGGAAATTCAGTTGAGGAACAGCTTAAATCAAATTGGCCTACGGTATGTCTATGGGGAACTGTCTTGACCTCTGATTGATGTAGGAGGGCCCAGCCCACTGTGGGCAGTAACATTCCTAGGTAGGTGGTCCTGGGTTGTATAAGAACGCTAGGTGAGCAAGCCAGATAGCAAGCCAGTAAGCACCAGTGCTCCAGCTTCTGTTGAGTTTGCATGGACTTCCTTCAGTGATGGATTGTGACCTGGAAGCATAAGGCAAATAAACAAACCTTTTCCTCACCAAGTTGTTTTGGTCAGAGTGTTTAATCACTGGAACAAAGATCAAACTAGAACACTAACCTTTATAAACAAGTTCATGAAAACACCAATCCCTTTTCTTGGTAATTCTTTGGAGGAAAGCAGAGAATTCTTTTTTGAAGTACTTGTAAAATAACCCTAATTCTCTCTCAAAACCATGTGGCAGTCAACTGGGATGGCTACTGCCAGTTGTAAAACCTTTCTTTTCTCAGTGGGGTCCTGACATTTGGGAGGAATTTGGGAGCAAAAGGATTCTGCTGAGCAAGAAGAGACTGGTAGAGCTCTTTTTACATACAGCCCAGTATCAAGTCATTTTAAAATCCGATTTTGGCAAATATGAGTAGATCCATATCTGCACAAACAGTACCTGTGCCTGCGAAATGAAAATATCAGATGCACATCTAATGGAATTAACAAACATATAGTTAAGTATCAGAGGACTTGGAGTTAATGAACGTCACCAACATTTTTTTTAAACCACAGCTCCCAAAATGTGTGCCCATCAACTTCAGAACAGTTACTGGACTCTGTGTGGTAGAAATGAAGTCTCAGCAAGTGATGACAAACATTTTCAGTGCTTCTGCATATAGAATACTGCAGGGACATCCCATTGATAAACCTGAGGCATTCTCCCACACTCCCTACCTCTTTCATGATCTTGATGGCTTCCACTCGGTGCTGGGGTGGGGGATACAGCAGCACACGGTGATAGAGGGACTGGAGCACTGGCTTCATGGAGTCCACCGACCCCACTAGGCGGATGAGCTCGGCTGCAAGGTAATAGATGGTGCGGGCCACGGGCCCACTGAGGGCAGGTGCAGTGCAGGAGCAGCCAGAGCCCCTGCCATGGTCAGACACAGCAGGAGAGACAGAGTCTGACTCCACACTGGCACTGGTGCTGCTGCTGTGAGCAGAGGTGATGGTTTTGTCATGAATGGGGTTCCCCAGGATCACGATGAGAGCAGGGCAGAGGTTTTTCCTGGGAAGAAGCAGGAGGAAGAATAAGCTTCACTAGAAGCCAAATGATAACGAGTGAATGCCACCAGGAAAAAACTGATGCCCGGGATTGCCCACTGCTCCTGTGTTTTGCCTACAGTCTTCCACATTCTCATGCTAATGTTAACTGATAAAGTATCAAGAGAAGCATTCAAGGGCCATGTGTGTGTGTGTGTGTGTGTGTGTGTACCAAAAGGCTCCATTAGCAAGTTTCATTTTTACTATGTTATTTACAGAATTTACTATGTTAAACTTACTACATTTACTATGTTATTTACAGAATTCTTTCTCATTTAAGATGTAAATTTCAAATTCCATATTGACATCTGTCATTCAGTTTCCTCCCTGTCAATAAACTCAGGGAGCTACAGCCTACTAATGGCTACCTGCAGGGCCCATTGCCTCTGAAGAAGCAAAAGTGATTAGCGTTCTCACTCCGTTAAGTCTCTGATCCATTTATTTGCTTTTAGAACAAACTGAAAATCCAGATCTCCTGATTCTGGTCTCTTGTGATTCCATGATATAAAAAACACGTAAGAGGGCCCGTGGAAGCATATCTGTTATAACGATCATCAGTTTCTCTATGGAGTTTTGGCTGATGCATGCAAAGAAAGCAATTCTACTTGGAGGACATTTATGTCTGGATGAAGCTATTGGTAGTTCACAGGCGCTATGCAAGGGGGCTAAGACACTATAGGATCCTTCGGGTTGGTATGGGGGGTGTCAGGATTTTGTGCTCACCAGATGAGGTCAGTGAAGCCCCTGTGCAGGTACATGGATGAGGAGGAACTGCTGAGGATAGAGAGAATGCACTCCAGGTACAGAAGCTGCAGCTGCTGGCTGTCACTGTGGAAGGGCAAAAGCAACACACGAAAGCAGGCAAAAGACAAGGCAAAGTTAGAAAGGGGCATGAGGGCATCACCAAAGCACTCGTTTCGGGGGGGATGGGTGGTTAGTGTCATGGGCAGAATTTTGTTTGTCAGACTGAAGCCCTAATCCCCAGTAGCTCAGACTATGGTCCTCTTTGAAGGAAGGAAGGAAGGAAGGAAGGAAGGAAGGAAGGAAGGAAGGAAGGTCTTTACAGAGGGAGATAAGCAAGTTGAAGTGAGTTTGTTAGCAGGGGCCTAATTTGATATAACTGGTGTTCTTAAAAGGAAAAAAAATTGGATATTGAGATGTGTGTAGAGGGAAGACAATATAAAGAGACACAGGGAGAAGGTAACTACACACAGGCAAGGGGGCAAGTAGAGGGAGGCACGGACCAGGCCCTCTAATAGGCCTCAGAAGGAGCCAACCACGGACACCTTGATCTTGGCTTTCCAGTCTCCAGAACGTGACAGGATACAGTCCTCTTGTTCAAGACACTCAGCTTTTTATGGTACTGTGCTATGGCAATCCCAGAAAAGTGATGTAGCTAGGCTGATTTTTGGAAGCTAATAAATTTTACCTTGTAGAAAGGTTTCCAAACCTTGGTAGAAAAACTGAATATCAAACAGACTTACCATATTTTACTTCCTTTCATACATGTCCTATTAACGTTGTGTATTAGTATAGTGTTTGCTATAATTAATGTACATATGGTGATATATTAATTAAAGCCTGCAGCTTATGCCATAAATGTTAATTATTTTATTGATGATGACTTTTAAAAATTTATTTTTATTTTATACGCAAGAGTATTTTGCATGCATATATGTAAGTACACCACATGTATGTGATACCTAAGGAGGTCAGAAGAAGGTGTTACATCCCCTGGAACTGGAGTTACAGACAGTTGTTAGCCACCATGTGGGTGCTGGGAACCACAGCTGGGTCTTCTGCAAGAACAGCCAGTCCTTTTAACCACTGAGCTATCTCTCTAGACCCCTGGCTTAACTTTTTAAGAAACCATTTATCACCTTTTCTTTTCCTTTCCCTTTCTCTCTCTTTCTTCCTCATTCCCTTCCTCTCCCCTCCCCTCCCCCCCCACCTCCACTTTCCTCTTTCTTGACTGTACCAGGGCATGAACCCAGGGCCCCAAACATGGTAGGCAAGCATTTTAGAACTGAGCCAACACTCTCAGCTTACCATATTATTTTTCATTAGCCATTACTTTACTGATTTACAACTGATTTTTCTGTTATTTACTGAGGAGACATTTTTTAATGGAAAAATGACTTTTCCCAAAAGTTATTATTATGAGGTGTCTCAATAAAGTCAAATATGAAAACAGTTAACTTTACAGGAAGTACACTCAATGTTTTCAGGTTAAGTTTTACCAAAAAGAGCTAAAATACAAGTAGGCAGTAAGAGAGGGGGTAAGGGGAAACTGAATTTTCGATGATACATTGGCTATAAAATATCTCTTAAAGAGAAATAAAGCAAAAGGTCTTTATGGACTGGCATATTCCATAACAGGAAGACTGCCAACACAAATGACATCTGGTCGGATCTATCTTCTTATAATTTTAATTAACTGCCCCAAAGAGGCCGAGTGTTCCCAACAGTTCAAATAACCCTCTAGAGTAGGATGGTTGGGGGAAAGGCGAAGCGTGAGAGCCCATTGGAAGGTGAAGAAGACAGGAAGAGGGAAAAGGAGAGCTGACCGTCTGTGCCAGGGGCCGAAGCCTTCGTGTTCATCCACCCGCAAAGCTGAGGCACATGTGTCATTGAAAGACAAGGCAGAATGAGGTGGAGCTGGGGTGTCTCTCCCACATTTGAATACTAGGCTAATATCCTAAACTGACTCTAGGCTTTCAAACCAGCTGGCAAGCTATAGCTCAGAGGCCAAACTTTGTACACAGCCTGTGAATTTAAAAATGTTTTCATTTAAAAAATATTTATTATTATTATTTTATGTGTATGAGTGTATTGCCTGCATATATGTAAGTGCATCCATGTCATGTCATGCAATGCCCTCAGAGGTCAGAAGAGGTGTCAGATCCCCTGGAACTGGAGTTATAATGGTTGCTAGCCACCATGTGGTGCTGGGAACCGAACCCGGGTGCTCTGCAAGAGCATCCAGTGCTCTTAACTGGTCTCTCAAGCCCTGTTTTCATATTTTAAATGGGTTATAAAACAAAATAAAAACAAAGACCATGTTGCCCTTTACAGGAAGCTTACTAAATCATAGCCAAAAAGATTTCCTTTGTCCTCCAACTGTATGACTAGTGTCATCAAATTGAAAAGAGAGTGCTGTTCATATTTGGATGCACTGAGGATGGAAGAGAAATGGTTAAAGGCTGAATCGCCACAAAAGTTATCAGGATTTGGCAAGAGGAAGGTAATGAATAGAAGAAAGAGAAAATGGAGGAATAATTAATGCTTCATGCTCATGGGACCAGGTAGAGAAACAAGTAGATCAAGCACTTTGTGATGGGCCTTACCACGTATGACAGAATGCATGAAATCCAGTGTGTGTGGGGGGAGTTACAGAGTGGGGCACTGTATCTCAGGCTAATCCTTCTGCTTAGTAACTGGGCTAATTAAACTGTTAGTTTAGCATTATAAAACTAAAATATATCTAGAAAAGTGTTTCCCAATTTCTGAAGTCACCGGAAATTAGTCCAGAAGGGAAATTATGAGCAGTCAAAAGTCCTGTGAATGTCTTCAAAGCCTTTGACAGAGAACACCGCAGCCCACCATCATCAGCCTCACTGATAGGAATGCATTGCCAAGGAAACTGGCCCAGGAGTCTCCTTGGAGATAGCAGCAGCTTAAATGTGTACTGTAGCAGCCTGGAAAGCAGGTACTTAGGGCTTTGCATGAGTCATGCCATTAAATGGAGCCTTTTAAAATCCAAGCTTCCCACCCATGTTCCTCACTTAGACTCAGTTATGCATGTGAACAGTGTGTATGCCTTTCTGACTTATATAATCACTTGGATGCACAGAGTAGGAAGGAACTTATAGTCCAGCTAATGCTCCAAAAATACACAAGAAAAAACCTGTCTACCCAGGAGGGTTGGGAATCTTTCTTTCTGGGCTTTTGTTTAAACATTTCATGGTTGGCATATTGAGTATATGCCTGTCTCATTGCCTGCTCGTGGCTGAGCTTCTTTCAGAGTGGAGAGCTGGGCCATGCAGGCTAAGCAGCCATCCACCCTGGCAAGGTTCCTGGGAGGATAATCAGCAGCACTTTCAGCATCTTTGTAGTTTGCAGAGTTTTTGTTTTAAACCCTTTTTCTCTAAATTTTTGTTCTCTTTTGGTACAGATTAGAATTTAATTAGGAAAAAAAGGAGAAGGAACCAAGCAATTATACAAGGAGGGGGCAGAATTAGAACAAGTGATACAGACACTCAGGCTGGCCTTACCGATTCCAAGTCTACTTTGGTATAGACGCCTGTGTTACACTCTGTGGAGAGGAAGACTGGAACAGAGTGGCAGGTAACAGACAGGCAGAATATGAATCACTGCAAGCCCAATTATCTTCCCTAAAACTCCTGTGTGGAAGCAAGATCCTGGAACTCAACTTGACTAACATAGAACTGTATTAATATCACATCTCCAAGGCCTGTGGGTGAGTTGTGCTGCATACCTGAACATATTTTCAGAATCCTCCTGAGAAACTGAACCTACCACAGAAGTATGTGTCTTACAGAACTAAAGCCCTGGAGATGTCTGGGGTCTGATTTTGAAAATGATAAGGAGAAATACTGACATTGGAATTTCAGAGAAGGAACCTATTTAAAAGAGAGAAGAGAGCTGGGCATAGTGGCAGAGGCAGATGGATCTCTATGAGTTTCAGACTAGCCTGGTCTGCATAGTGAAACCCTGTATCAAAGAAGAGGAGGAGGAGGAGGTAAGAAACATGTTTAGCATAAAAGATAAGGTCATACCAAAAGAAGAGAAACTCAAGGACAGTGAGAGACAAAGAAAAGCTCCAAGTGTATTATACACTAGCATGAAAATGGCTATACAGAACCCAGTGACTTTAAAAAGTAGAAATTTAAAAAGAAGAGACAAGAAGAAGGAAGAGGAGGAGAAGAGGAGGAGGAGGAGGAGGAGGAGGAGGAGGGGGAGAAGAAGAAGAAAGTTGTTTTCAGTTTAGGTAATGGAAATGAAGGAGTTACGGTTGTCAATAAGAAGAAGCTATACAAATATGAAGAGAGAGCAGAACAGGAGTGTGCCAGAAGACAAGTTGGTGTCACAGCTGCACTGAACAGGCAAAGCACTAATTTCTTTATCTGTGCCACCCCTCCTACCTTAGGACAATGAAATTATGATGCGAAAGACAATCAAGTAAGCAGGCAAGCTCCAGAGGCAGAATTACACAGGGCAAAGCACCAAAACACCAAGACCATCTGCATCGTACCAAAACCCTGAAGCATTCTCTCTCACAGTGTGCCAAAAGCTATATTTGATTACAAAAAAAACAAAAAACAAAAAACAAAAAAACAAACCACCCATTATATGTCACATGAGTTCCTTTCCCATTTAAAGCCTATTCTCAGATCATAGAGTTAAAAAATGTTTTCAGCTGGGCGTGGTGGCACATGCCTGTAGTCCCAGCACTTGGGAGGCAGAGGCAGGTGATCTCTGTGAGTTCAAGGCCAGCGTGGTCTACATAGTGAGTTCCAGGACAGCTGGGGCTACAGGGAGACCCTGTCTCAAAAAGACCAAAAAAAAAAAAATGTTTTCAGTGATTGATGGGTACCTCTGACCTTTGGTTGCTAGGATGTATGTATGCACAGACTGGCAATGTAGGCTTGTGCAATGTATTTTCCTAACAAACAATAGACCATTTTTTTTCATTTAAAAAATCCCAATGTTCTGAACTCAAAGTACACAAACCGGTTTAGAACCAAAATGTATCAAATATCTACTACATGCTAGTCACTATGCAATTAAAAAGACTCCATTCATAACAGAACTTCCTTAAAAATATCTAAACTGAATGCCTGTAATACTTATACAACAGGAAAAACCCTGAAGTGTCCTAGAAAAGCCACCTAGACACAAAGAATCATAAACTTTGTGCCAGGTACTTACAGGACCTAACTGAAGATTCTGTTTTGACCAAGGAAGGAACAGTAGTACATTTTAGTCTATCACTTACAGACCTTCAGGCTCATTCTGACTTATCTTGATGGCTAGGTTTTAATTATAAATTGATATGATTATAAATAAGAGATTCTTCCACATTTACACAGCTTTAAAACTCCAGATTTTTTCTTTATTTTTATTTTATGTGGATGAGTGTATTGCCTGCATGCATGTACGTAAACTTGTGTCGTGCAGTGCCTGTGGAAGACAGAAGAAGGTGTCAGATCCCTTGGAACTGGAGTTACAGATGGTTGTTAGCCACTATGGGGGGGGATTCAAACCTGGGTGAACCACCTCTCCAGCCCACCAGATATTTTCTTTATAAAGCTGCTAGAAAAGGTTTTACTTATTTCTGGGCAGTAATAACTATAGTCTTTCTATTTTTCAAAGTTTTGGTGGTCTTTGTTATATTTATCAACAATGCTAAGACCTAGAGGTCTTAGGGGTCTGGAAGAAGCATCTTTCACATCTGGCAACTCCTTAGCAGCTACTAGGGAGATGAGCCTTCTGATGAGCATCAACACTACAAAATGTTAAGATCAGACAAAATCTCTGTGATTGCAATAGAACAAGCTGGAGCCCATGGAAAACCATGCCTGAACCATGGCAAAAGGAGGGTGGAAAGGGTACAACCACAGAATATGAGGAAACACCCTTCCCCTGAGAGAGAGTGACTGTTCAGCCCCATCTGTTCCCCTCATAGGCTGAATAGAAATTAAGAGGTCCAATGTTAGAGGCCCAATGCTAGAACTGATGGTACTTCCTGACAACACTCGGTCCTTGCATACAACTCTTATTTTACTATAAAATAACTTAACCCAAGCTCAAATTAAATAATAATTTCTCTTAACATACTGGATGCATCTCAGCTTCCCTTAGAGGGTTAGCAATCTCAGTGCAACAAGTTAATGAGTCTGTTAGACACCTGAGGTGTTCCAGGCAGACCTAAGATGATAGGCATTGACCATCTTTTAAGGGAACGTTCTCATTTTATCCTATAAAACCCTTACAATGTTTTATATAACTAATTTTATGTAATAATACACTATATATTAATTGTTATCTAGAATGCGTAAACTTGGGATGCTTGTGCTCTTTACATAAAGTCAAAAGTTTATAAGGACCAGAACAGAGGTTTCAACTGAAGCAATCCCCCCAAACCACGATGCATTTGGGTCAGTGGCAATTAAGCACCACTCCTTTTTATCAGTAGTACATTATGTTCACGGTGGTGCACGCCTTTAACCCCAGCACTCAGGAGGGGAGACAGGCAGAGCTCTGTGAATTCAAGGCCAGCCTGGTCTACCTAGTGAGTTTCAGGCCAGCTGGGGCTAAGGGAGACCCTGTCTCAAAAAGACCAAAAAAAGAAAAAAAAAATTCACCAGAGAAGTTTCCTTATGCAGCAGATGGTGATTAACACAGAAACTGACAATTGGCCAATATGAAGAGAACAAGAGGCCGCAGAGTACTTATCTCTGAATAGGACACATTTCAAACCTCTGCCTCCCAAGGCTCAGGGATCATTGCAAAAGGAGGCAGAAAGATTGGAAAAGGCAGAGGTGGTGGGTGACCTCAAGAAAAGTCTTCCAGACAGCTGGTCATTTACTCATATGAATTCACAGCAACAGCGGCAGCATGCATAATTTCCATGCAAGCTCAAACCAGACAAAAATCTCAGTATAGACAAGGGAAAGTGGGTAAGAAATCCAAACCCAACCTAAGGAACTTTTGACAATTGATGGCTGCTGGGAGAAACAGTGTCTCATAGGGATGGGACTCTTGGTGGGCCCAGTGGATGGACCCACACTGAAGGACATCTGGGGACACAAATCAGATTCATTAAAAATAAAGTAAAATAACCCCCAAACCAAAACAATGGTTTTCATACATTCATATAAAATTCTAGACACAATTCTTTATGGGTCTCAAGAGAAAAGTATTCTGGTGTAAACATATCCCAGCTCTGAGGACCAGCTGGGTCTATCATGGAAAGAAACTGGGTAGAACTGGGGAGAAGCCAGCACTAGACTGACAATAGTAAACAGAGAACCCATCCAAGCTAGAATGCTATTAGGAGTAGAGGATTGCAATGATTATACAACAGGCATAACCTGGGACTGTCTTCAGCAAACCAGGTAGCATGGTGACCTTACAAAAGGGATGAATGTAGTTGATGTGAGAGCCCTCTGGTTAGGATGGTAAGAGGATTCCCAGCTAGTCTGCTGCAAGTTCCCATGCCTGGGAAAGCCAGGAACTTGAGCAGGGGACAGTAGGAACCATTTAACCCATCCAGTGTTAGACTTGTCCTAAGGGGCAGAGAAGTTCAGACCTTCCACCAAAAAAGGTTGGAGAAGGAGTGTTGTTTCTTTTTGGTATATACTACCCAGGCATTAAATAAACATCCTCCTTTTTGGGCACATATTTAATATTATACTATATATGATACACATATAGAGTAAAATGTTTGCTGTTGTGAAACAAATGAACATATCCATCATCTCATATTGTTATTCATTTTTCCCTCTAGTGGCAAGATCAGCTATAATCTACTTTTTCTGCCAAAGTACTGAATACAAGCCACTGTTACAAAGCACAGTCTTCATGGTGTACTTTAGCTCTTTTGACTTCTTCATCCTCCATATTTTCTACTTTCCTGTTTCCTCCCACCCTACCTCAAAACCACTATTTATTTTCGGTTGCTATATTTTCCACCATTTTATTCTCTGCTTCTAAGTATTTGATCTCTAAATGTCTGGTTCAGAGAGCTTCACTGTGCAGGTAACATAGGGGTACAGAGGATAAATTGATTTAGAAACCAACTGGCAAAAAAGTGAAAGAAAAAAGCAAAGAAAAAGAAAACATCTGGCAACAACTTCTAAGAGTAATTTTTAGCTTAGCGTGGCTATTAATACAAATTCTGAGCGGGGTGTGGTGGTGCACACTGTTATTTCTAGCACTGGGGAGACAAGGTAGATCCGGCAAGTGGATCTCTGTGAGGTGGAGGCCAGTTTAGTCTCCATAGCAAGTTCCAGGCCACTGGAATAACAGAGAGACCCTGCCTCAAAAAACAAACAAACAAACAACAAACAAACAAACAAACAAAGAATTCTGAGTTCTGAAAACAAAAACAAACCACAACCCAAACAAACTTCTGTAATGTTTCCAGAGAAAAGAGACCATGACTGCAACACCACCAAATCCCCTGAACACTATGGTACTTAAAGTTAGACAAGGGAAAGTTTTCTGCATTATTAAATGTTCTTATCAGCAGTAAATGTGTTCAATGTGTCTTTTTATAATTCAAATGGCACTTCAGGATTTTACCTTGTGGTAGAATTGAAATTTTTTAAAAATGTAGACGAATGTTTTGCCTGCATGTATGTAAGTACACCACATACATGCAATGCCCCCAGAGACTAGAAGAGGACATCAGATTCCCTGGAACTGGATTTACAGCTGGTTGTGAGCTACCATTTGGGTGCTGGGAACTGGGTCTTCTGCAAAAGTACTGAGCTGCTGAGCTATATCTTTCCAGCCCTTGTAGTAGAATTGTGCAGTTCATTCTATATGTATCAGGCAAAGGCCTTTCATCTGCTTTCAGGAAGCCTGGGCTTTTCAGAGCTTTACTCTGGGTGCAGAAGTTATCTTCTTAACTGAACCGCCTATACTAATTAACATCATTGAAGTCCCTTGTAAGATGGGGTGTGTGTCATAGGCTTAGGGGATGTCAGATGAAACAGAGAAAGTCCTCATAACCCAGCCTTGTCATTTAGTGGAGGAGAAGCGTCCAGCTTGGTTCAATGGCAAGAGTCACACAGCAGGCCATGGCCAAGCCAACACCCACTCTCACATCTAGCAGTGCTGAGGGCCCCCACTCCCCAGTCCCCACCACTCTGTACACAACTCTGGGCTCAAGAGACTTGTTCTTATTTGCAAGGTTTTTTTTTTTTTCATTTTTCATTTTCACTTCAGAAAATGGTATACACCAGTAATGGCGTGTAGTAATCTGGTATTGCCTGAGGCCTCTGAATATATTTCTCAGGAAAGACAGGTGAATATCGGTGGGCTGTAACTACTGTCCGTGTAATCTACAATTTAAGTGATGCTGCAGACAGAAGTCATTCCAGAAATGGACCACTGCTGGATACGAGCCAGGGTGGAAAGGACTTACTTTATGGAGGCTTGTAGCTTCTCACACAGGACAGCAAGGACAGAGACAACGTCGTCACAGAGGGCCTCGACTGTTGAACCTTCAAAACAGAGGAGGCAACAAGCATTAGACATGAGCAGAGCACTGCGGCCTTCCTCAGTGCCCTTCCCATCCTGTGCTTTTTCAGGACTAAAAGATGATTTTTAGATATGGGCCTCTTTAGGCCATGAGAACAATCATAGAGTAGAGTGGAATATAACCACTCCTTTTTCATGTAAACCACTCAAAAGGTAGTCCAGGAAGAAAATAAAAGATGATTTCTCATTGTAAGTAAATTCTTTCATATGCAATGCAAAGATGTATGAAGAATTGAAAAAAACAACGTAATTCTTGTGCAATGGCATTGGTTGCTACTCAGGTATCTATGACTGTCTACTCAGTTCTCATTTTAGCAATTAAACCTTGACCCATGGAGTATGAAGTAATGGAAAGAAAGAAAAAAGAAAGGAATAAATGACGAAGGGAGGGAGAGAGAGAAGAAAGGAAGGAATAAAACAATCTCCAAATGGAGGAATTGGAGTGCTGACTCCTTTCCCACAGTTGGAACAGGAATAGGTGCAGTTGGCAGAGGAGGTAGGAGCAGAAGGAAGACAGCAGATGCTGACTACCAGGCAAGGCAAAGCTGAGCAGAGCTGTGAGTGAGCGGTAAATGAATCTAAGAGCTCCTGCATCTTTCTTTACACCCCAGTTCCAAGCACAAAGTAGACATTCTTATACCCATTTAAAAGCTCAGCTGGTAAAAACTGAAGCCAATACCTTGACTCCCGAATTCCTGTGGGGCATCTGGGTTTTCAATTATCTAGTGAAGGAGACACACACAATTAGATTCCAGTAAAAAAAAATATTAAAAAATCCCAACTCTTAAGACAGTGGAAAAGCTCTAGGAAACACAATGGCATCTTGAAGTTCTGGGTTCAGCTGCCTCATCTAAGCAAGCTGGATAGCATCTCACTGCTCACAGCACTGGGAAGGACTATGAGCTTGTCAGTTTCTAAAGTAAACTATTCAAGAATTCACCCAGTTCCTGGAAGTATAAGTCCCATGGTATACTTTGTAATTCTAGGTTGCTAAGCTATAACATGGTGCAATGCCTACCTGAAGAGGTGAGTTAATCGTTGCATAGACAATAATCAATCCAAGGCCACAGGATACACTGTGGTCGGCCCTACCTAACAGATCTAGACTCAATCATAAGAAGGATTAGCCTTGCTGGACTTCAAAATACTAGTTCAAAGATAAACACAGCTCAGAAGCAGCATCTTCCTGCTAAATGGGAGAACATATTAAACTCCTGATAGTCTATCAGATCAGCATCTCTTGACTATTGCTAGGCAGGCCCAGAACTATCAGGGAAAAGACATCGCCTAGGAAAACCAGGAAGTGAAAGATGCTTCCACCTTTCATGGTCTCATGGTAAGCATAAATCCCATGACTACAGAGCTGTAAGGAACTGGGGATGTGAACGGACCACTTCTGGCTCCCTACCTCTCTATACCAGGAGATGATAAGGAGGCATTTCATGCTAATCAACTCCAAGACATGCAAATCAACCCATGGTGCTGAATTTTTTAAGACTCAATGGAGGTGCGAATGTCTACCTTTCTCTACTCAGAATTTGCAAGCTCGGCTGCTTCCTCAGCAGATTTTGTGCCAGTGTCTGCAGTCTTAGCACATGGCTAAATCAGAAGGTTTGAACAACACCGGAGTATATCAGAATCAAACAAAGTTTAGAAGGGCCCCAACCTCCCAGCCACCAAATAGTTAACATGTGGCAATTTCACTTTGCGGAATCAGCAACTCACAGTCTAGCAAGGGCTTTAGTCATCTCAATAATTCAATAATGAAGGTAGGTAATAACTCAGAATTTCCAAGAATACAAAAATCAAAACTAATCTGACCTGGGGGAGGGCTAGAGGCTATAGACATTATATTGAAGGTGCATGTTATGCTAACACCTTTGCATTCCACATTACTTATTGTATTTCCACTGTATTTAGGTCTTCCTAATTCTGAGCTGACCCATGATGGCTCTCCAGTGATGAGTCATGCTACAGAATATGCATGCTGCTCCCCCAAGGGACCACATAACTTCCTGAGAGCAAACTTGATCATTCCTATAGATAGTCCCCTTTAATAATGCTTGAAAAAAACACCTAATTTTTAGGCAGAAACACTTATATCTCCTTCTACCAGATATTACAAGTTCTTCAAAGATTACCATCCTGAGAACAATGTTTTTCTGGGACATGAAATCTTACCTCCAAGGGACTGCATGAATAATAAAAATGAAGTAAAAGGAAACATTAATTTTGCATAGACAATAATCAATCCAAGGCCACAGGATGCACTATGGCTGGTCCTAACAGATCTAGACATAATCATAAGAAGGATTAGCCTTGCTGGACTTCAAAATACTAGTTCAAAGATGAATACAGCTCAGAAACACCTGATTTGGAATCTTGCCTTTGGCTGGGGTGAGTCCAGATGGCCAATGGTAAGCAAGACCAGAAAGTTGATTAATTACATAAAACCCAGGGTAGAGGCATACAGCTTCCGTGCTACTGTCCAGACCTCCTCAACTATACTTGCATCCTATACGCCACTCTAATGGAAGCTAGGAAGAACAAGAAGGCTGAGCCATCTGACCTGAAACACAACATAGTCACGTTCCATTTAATGATGGGGACACTGAGGAATTCATTATGCAGTGATATTTTGTCACTGTGTGAACCTCATAAGTTGTATGCACAAAAACCAAGATGACATAGCGTACTGCACTGCTAGGCTATATGGTATGTTCCATTACACATATGGTCTATTGTTGACCAAAACATCATTCTGTGGTATATGGCTGCCCTCTACTGAAAATTTCAAAATTAAGATTCAGTGAACATAATTAGAAGCACTTGAAACACTTCATTTAAATATTTCATAAAACAGTAATAATGAACTATTTGATTATGTTACCATTTAGTAAGGATAGAATATGACTACATATTAATATAATTCTTTTAAAGTATTTTATTTATTATGTTTATTATATGTGTATGAGTGTATTGCCTGCATGTATATAAGTACACCTGTGTCCTACAATGCCCATGGATATCAGGAGAGGGTGTTGGATCCCCTGGAACTGGAGTTACAGACCATTGTTAGCCAGCACGTGGGTGCTGGGGTTCAAACCTGGGTCCTCCGCAAGAGCCAGTGCTCTTAATAGCTGAGCCATCTCTCCAGCCACAATATATAATTCTTAATAACTTAATTTCCATCTTTTCTCCTAATAACTTTTCTATCGATAGATTTTTTTGAGCTAATGTTCCCCTGCTCATTCAAATTCCTAGTATAAATGAAATCATTTTCAACAAAGGGTCAGAAAAAGTAATAAAGACATCTCAAATTAATAATTTTTATCAGGAATGTGGGCCTTGGGTATAGTAAACACAAAAGGGGAAAATCAATATTTGTTTTCCCAGATTATTTCTGTTTCACAGCACTGGCTGCCAGAGCCCACATGATCTTAGGGTGTGGCCTGGAGGGGTCAGTCAAAGCCTAGGGCTTAGTTTTGTCTCTTTCACAGATGAGCTCATTAATTTTAGATTTCAATTACACCTCTCTGTGCTTCATCTTCTTATCTGTAAAATAAGGAATGAAACAATTTGGCTTCACAATCTGCAAGGTTCCCATCAACTCCATGATCGCCTCAGAAATAAGAAAATTATTGAAACAAAAAATGAGAAGTATTTGAAATTAAGAAAGCTTAATTTCTGTAAAATGAATTATTTGAGATATATCCAACTCCAACTGAGATTTTCTATCTTAGAAAATAACTAATGTCATTTCAGAGGCACCTTGCCAGATTTTATGAGTGTTTTAACAAATTATTACAGAGGCAGATTTTAAAATCAAACCAAAACACTGCTTTTGAGGAGGACTTAACCTCCATTGACAGTCTTAGAAGACAACATATATGAAAAGGTAGCTGTATTTAGATTTCCCCCTGGAAACTCATTTTAGACAATCTGTTCAAGTTTGGAACAGAAAGCTCTAGTGGGCTTTGATGCTAGAAGAAATTCAGCTTTACCCAGCTGGCCCCAGCGAGGGGGGGGCACACCCTGCTGTCACTTTTAATTAACAGAGGAAACACAGCAAACGAAACTCAATGTGATGAACTGCTACTCTTCATTTTTTCCATTTCAAATTTATTACCAGAATACTTTTAATACAAATGTTCAATGTAAACAGTTTCAAAAAATGATAAAGAAAAGTAAAAAATTTAAATCATGACCAAAACCACTATAAAAAACATAAGGAAGAACTCCACACTTTGGGATAAAACAGGCAAAATTCTACATAGCTGAATTTGTATAAATAAGTGTTCTAATAAAAACAAACACATCCTAGTGTTTACAGTGGGAACTAGCCATCACAGGAGGGGCCCTGGGCCTGGGACACACAGCATGCAGTGACATTCACATCATTGTCAGACCTGTGCTAGCATGCAGCCTATGGGCTCACCGTATTCTCCTGCCTCTGTCTCAACTGTAAAGTCAGATCACTCAGCATCTGACTGAGAGTTGCCCGCACAGCAGTGTTGATGCTGCGCTGGTGACAGCTGCATGTGTACGTCTCAATGCACACCTGGTAAGGAAATAAGAGCGACATGTACATTCCAGATATCAGTTCACTGCTGACATTACTTGGCACTGACCACAGAAGATAATCAATTTTTTTTTTTTTTTCCCCAATAAGCGCTTGTTTACCATGTAGCCAAGGCTGGCGTAGAACTCAGTATCTTCCTGTACTGGTCTCTAAATCCTTTTTAAACAGAAAGTCAGTCTGACTTCAGACTACTTACTAATGAAAATAACTAATTGTCCTTAAAAATCTCTGGAAATTTGTGTTTAAGCATTCAAGAAAATTAGTATTTCCCTAGTAGTATTAGTATTTTTCTTATGCCCACCCTCACAATCTCATTTTTCCAAGTTCCACAGGGGAATACAGACCTATGGGATTTTGTGAACCAAATAATTCTAAGAAACTCAGGTGGCTGGAGATAGCTCCATTTGAGTCTCAACAGGACAGGACTAACTAAATCATGGGTTATAGAGTGTGGGTAAAGTGTTATGGAAGCCTTCTACACTGAGCTATAATGAGTTTGACTTTGGGTTGGCACTCATGTTCTTTGCACACTGACAGAAGGAGAATGACTTGGAGAAACTCTTTCCTGACTGCTGAGTGGCACCTGAGATTCAACTCAGAATAGCTGATGGGAAGCCACAGGCTTGGGCTTCCCTTGGTGTGGGGAATCTTGTAACTGAGTATACCACCCAAGGGAACTCTGCAAACTCTGCTCACAGAGTTCTTTCAGAAATAGTGGCTCATATTAGGGCCATGGGGCTCCAAAGCCTGGGTACTCCAGAAATGGCACTCAACCTCATGCACCACACTGCCATTTGAGAGCCACCTGCACTGTTGTGAGGCATGCCTGCCACTATCCTGCCTCTGTTTCCTGTCCTGTGTCCTGCTGAGTGAGCCTGTCAGTTGGAGCCTCCTTTGATCTTGTAAGTCTGAGTGTCAAGTGAACCCAAGATGACTCTTACGTGGTGACTGATGGAGAAATTCCTAATTTGGGAGGAAAAAAAAATCTCCTCCTTGATAATGATGATGCTGTTGTGAACTTGGAGGGTTTGCTCCCTCTAATTCTTGAAGCTGAAGGATGGGCCTGGGTGAGTACATGCTTTAGAACAGCCCAGCCTTCTCTCCACAAGACATTCTATTCTTTTGATTTCACAGAGAAATCTTAATAAGTATTTTAATGAGGTAGATTTTAAAAACAAAACCAAACACTGCTTTTGAGGAGGACTCAAGCTCTAACTGACATTCCTAGAAGACAACACATATGAAAAGTTAGCTGCATTTAAAGACAAAAAGAGAAATTATTCTTCTAGGAACAGCTCCAGATTGTCTATATTTAAAACAGAGGGTAGAGGGTCTCACTCAAATGGAAAATTTAATTTTATGATTGATAACTGAGATGAGAGAGAGAGAGAGAGAGAGAGAGAGAGAGAGACTATGTTAATATTTGTTGCTGCTCAAAGGCATGAGTGTTTCTTGGCAAGTCCCACTCT